GTTCCTTGAAGAGCCGCGGATCGTCGGCCGTTGCAACTCGCCCGAGTCGAGTTTGCAGCCGAGGAATTCGCTGTGCAGTGTGTGGTGGGGGGTGGTGGGGGCCTGGGTAGCGGAGCCCTCCTCCCCAGAGTCTCCATCCCCGCGCGTGATCCCCACGACCTCGTTATCCCGCGATGGATCCCATCCCCTTCCACCGCAACCCCCCGCCCGGCTCGCGTCGCCCTCAATCATCGCGGGGGCTGCCCGAGTTAATCGGGCCGGCGATGGGGATTGGTCTCCCTGCGGAGAAGGCGGCGCTGTAGCGTCCAGCGGAGACATCCCGATGTGGTGTATCGGGTGGGGGGGGGGGCTAAGCGAGCTCTCTGCTCCCACCCTCCCCCAATTACAAAGATCTCCCGTGTAGCCTGTAACTGACTGTTGGGGCAAGTGCTGTTAGAGGGTAGCACCGACGAAGGCCGGCACGGCGCACCACGGCCGGCCGCCTTTGTCTCCCCCAGTGACGTTGTTTACACATCGGAGTAATGTGAGGCCGAGTCGACCTAGGGGAGGACCGGGACCGGGTTCAGACGATCGCCGCTGGTTTTGAACCGTGAGCAGGAATCGAACTCGGGTCGCTGGGGATCGTAGCGCATTGCGACGAACCCCTCCACACCACCGCTGTTGGCTACGTACGGTGCGAAAGAAGTTCGACACACAGTGCAAAGAGACAAAGACCCCCGTATAGTCTTGAACAAACTGTAGGGGCAAGTGCTGTTAGCGAGCACCTATGAAGGCCGGAACGGTGCACGAGGTCGGTGGGTGGCCAGCACCACGCCCGACCGCCTTTGTCTCTCTAGTGGCGATGTTTACACACCGTACCAGGTACTCATTTGATGCTGAGTCGACCTAGGGGAGGCCCAGGGCCGGTTCAGATCATCGTCACCGGTGTTGGCCGTGAGCGGGAATCGAACCCGGATCGCCGGGTTCGTAGCGCAGCGTAGCGCTAACCGCTACCCCGACCACACACACCCAAATCCGTCGCACAGGCTGACCCACACACAGCACCCCCCCCAAAAAAAACACAATCACCCAACCCCCCCCCCAACCCCCCCCCCCCCCCCCACGGGCCCCATCACGCTCGTTTTAACTCGACGCAATTAGCGAGCAGATCAATGTGTTGATTATTGCGCACGCGACCGATCGAGCGTGCGTTCGATGGCGGTGGGGCAGCGGTTGACGTCAACAACAACAACAACAATTAAAATAACAACACGTGCCACCCAATGTGGTGGGCGGGTTGTAAAACCTTGCCCCCCCGTCCCCCTCCGTTAATTATTCAGGACGCGCCCGTCTCGTATTAACCAAATGCATCTTGCCGCCCTTGAAATATCGATTTTTCTAAATAAAAAAATTGTTAATTGACCGAATTTCGAAACGACAAAATATCTCAATCTTGTCATTTTGCATTCCCAACTCGCCTTGGCGGCTCGTGTTCGTGACCAGTCGCACGGTTGGCTACGTACGGCGCGAAAGAAGTTCAACATACATACCAGTTGCGCTCGTTGGTGAACCTGTGTTCAAGAAGAGGCCCCCCTCCGTTCGTCTAGAGCGGTGGCTCTCCTTCACCTGGGGTGCGCGCACCCCCTGGGGGTGCGAGATGCCCCTTTTGGGGGTGCGAGACGTGGCCACATTTGTTTTTCGAAGGTAAATAATAAAAAACACAAATTAAGCACGGGCACTTTGCTTCATCAAACCCTATGAATTTTTTTTTACGTTATACAAATAAATATTGCAAACCAAAGCTGCAGTACAGGTTAAGAACCACTGATTTTGAGGGAGTGCTTTGGCCAACAACATCTGGCAACCCAGAAGCAATTTATCTATTTACAATCCTCACTCTGCTGACGATAACCAGAACGTTGAAACTCACCCCCCCCCCCCCCCATCGTTTTACTTGCGTCAACACGCGCCGCTGGATCACACTGGGGGGCTGCATGCCAACAGGCGATGGTCTAAAATATATCCCGAGTATATTTACGCGTGCAGCACTAGGACACTGAGAATGGAGCGTTCTGCCCATATATGCCCAGTCGACCGGCTGGTTCGGGTTTAGAGGCTTAACACTCGTGGCTTGGGTTGGGTTAGGGATTAGTGTTGGTTACGTGGCTGGTTGGGTTCGAGATTAGCGTTTGCATGACTGGATCACTCACCCCCCTTCCTCCCCCTCCCTCGCAATCCACAATCCGCTCGCCATACACCCCATTACTAAGTTTCGCATTTTCAATTTATGACCACTCATCATTACACGACCACCAATTACAAAGATACCTCCCCCGTATAGCCTTAACATACTGCAGGGGCAAGGGCTGTTATGGAGCACCTATGACGACACACGAGGGGGTGGGTGGCCAGCACCACGCCCGACCGCCTTTGTCTCCCTCAGTGACATCGCCGCTGGGGAGACAAAGGCGGTCGGGCGTGGTGCTGGCCACCCACCCCCTCGTGTGCCGTTCCGGCCTTCATAGGTGCTCGCTAACAGCACTTGCCCCAACATTCTGTTAAGGCTACACGGGGGAATCTTTGTGATAAAAAAGGAAAATATTAAATAGGCGACGTTTCGGGGAATGGTCCTTCCTTCATAACGCATTCAAACAAGTGTTACGAAGAAGCGTCATTGCCTGAAACATAGCCCTTTTGTAATACAGTAATACTTCAGTAATAACATTACATTATATATAATATATACAGTTTATAAATATCTAGATTTGAAGCTTTCGTGACTGCAGGAATCCATACTCTTTGGTTCGTTCGGTAAAGTCACGTGGGTAGAAAATAAATAAAACAAATCACGACGTTTCGATTGCAAACACAAGCAACCTTCATCAGGTGGGAACACCCACGGCAAGAAAACATTTGCTGAAGTGGGCGAGAGAGCTGCAAGTTATTGAAGGTTGCTTGAGTTGCAATCGAAACGTCGTGATTTGTTTTAGTTCTAACTACGTGACTTTACCGAAATAACCAACGAGTATAGGTTATATATGTTCTGTTTTGTTTTCCTTTCAGGGCCACGGTGTAATTGACGAACTTTTCGGAATAGCTGTAATTTGTGGGGGGTATGCAGCGTCGCGATGCGTTGTCGCGATGCGTTGTCGCGATGCGTTGTCGCGGCAACACAATCCCATCATAGTTTACATGCAGATTATCCTGTTCCATTATTTCTCAGTGGTAAAGTTCTGAATTGTTTGCGACGCATTGAATCCGAGCCCAATTTGTACGCAAATCGTGATTGATGGCAACTTTCGCGGATAAATGTCTCACACCTGCCCGCATCGCTTAACCCACATAGCGTGCACACACACACACACAAGACAAATATACCCCATATAGCCTTTAGCAGACTGTTGGGGCAAGTGCTGTTAGCGAGTAGCCGGAACGGCACACGAGGGGGTGGGTGGCCAGCACCACGCCCGACCGCCTTTGTCTCCCCAGTGGCGATGTTTACACATCGGACTAATTTGTCAGAGGGAAATGGAGTGGCCAGCACCACGCCCGGCCGGCCGTATTTGTCTCCCCAATGCTAATCTAAGGACAGGGCCTGGCTCAGATAGTCGTCACAGAAGTTGGGCCGTGAGTGGGAATCGAACTCGGGTTCGCCGGGTTTGCAGCCCAAGTCCGCGCAACGACAACCGCCACTCGTCACTACGTGCCGGTTGACGTCGCCACGACGCTCGTGCCAGGCTAGGTGCACTTCGAGACCGCACACACACACATACACACGCGCGCTCCCGCACTCACCCATAATCGGATGGAACTAATAATGGAAAACCGCGGAGGTGTTAAACAAAAACAGTTATTAATATTATTATTTGGTAGGAAGGCATAATGTGAAAATGTGATTCTTAGTGTGGAACGGGTGACAACGATCGCTCGTCAAGAAACAAACTGAGCCACTCGCTCACACCTCGACGGGCGCTGGGGTCAGCGCTCGCGTGACATTGACGAGTCACGAATCCCGATTGAGGCTGGAGAAACCCGATGAGCCGCTAAGCTCTTCTTGTCGATCTCGCGCGATGTCCCACGAGTGTTCACAGAGCCCCCGTCCACCCGATCGCGGTGGCCAAAACGTCGCGCACCTCGGCACGCTTAGCAGTTGTTGAGGCTGGATGATTGTGCATTACAAGGTGCTATGGGCTGCCCCCGGGGCTAGGCTGTGGGCAGCGAAGGGGCAGGCCAGCAGCACTTCACTCCGTACTTTAATTCCATGCTCGCACCTCTGAGCTCAACCTCCCCGCACTGACCAGCGTGGTTGAAGTATGAGTGAACGAATGGACCAAGGGAATGAACGAGCGCCCGATCAGTTGGATGGACCAAAGAAATAGAAAAAAAAATAACTACCGAATGAATGAGCGAATGACTGAATGACTATCTGCAAACGAATGTCGGATTAATGGATCAGCTGAACGGCCAAACATACGACCGAATTGTCGAGCGAATAGCCCTGTCTTTCCCTCACCCCAAAGACAAAGATCCCTCATATAGCCTTAACAGACTGTAGGGGCAAGTGCTGTTAGCGATCACCTATGAAGGCCGGCACGGTACACGAGGGGGTGGGTGGCCAACACCACGACCGGCCGCCTTTGTCTCCCTAGTGGCGATGTTTACTACACACCGCAGCAAGTACTCGTTTGAGGCTGAGTCGACCTAGGGGAGTCCCAGAACTGGTTCAGATAATCATCACTGGTGTTGGTGGCTGTGAGCAGGATTCGAGCTCGAGTCGCCGGGTTCGGAGGACATCGCACTAACCGACTGTGCCACCTAAATCTCGATTGAAAACAATCTTTTCTAGAACTGCTTTGTGTGTCTGGTTTGTTGCCCTTTCACCTGCACCTACGATTGGCGCGGTTGGCTACGTACGGTGCCAAAGAAGTTCGACCGAATATCCATCATACACCCCCCTCCCCTCCCCTCCCCCTAACCCCCTTTACCACCCCCCCCCCGCCCGCCCCACCCCCGACCGGCAGGTGAGCGTGAACGGCTTCGTGACCCCGCACGACGTGCCGGAGGAGGGCTCCTACGTGGACGGGCCGCTGCCCACGAAGTTCGGGGTCATCGCCCCCTTCCTCGCCGACCTCGAGACCCAAGAGCTGAACGGGGGGCCGCCAGGCCACGCCGGGGGGAACGTCTTCTTCCGCGCGCTCGACGGGAGGAGCCGGGGGGACGACGACGACGCCGCCGGCGCCGCCGGTTCCGACCGCGCCGTCCTCGACGCCGCGGCCGCCCACGTGCGCCGCGCGTTCCCGGCGGCCGGAAATTTCGCTCCGATCGCCGGATTCCTGGCCACGTGGGACCGGGTAGCGGTGCACGCCAACCCCGGGCAGGTGGGTGCCGGCGGTTTCCGCGGGAGAGGGGCGGCACAAATCGCCACGACGCCGCAAACAACCGCCGCAACACAAACAACCACCACAACACAAACAACCACCACAACACAAACAACCGCCACAACACAAACAACCGCCACAACACAAACAACCGCCACAGCACAAACAACCGCCACAACACAAACAACCACCACAACACAAACAACTACCCCCCGAACCAGGACAACTCAGCCCCCGGGTGCGTATCCCGTCTCTCGGCTCAACCCGTCCAAACTCGGCCGATCTATCGGTGCCGACAGCGCACATTCTTCTCCCCTCTCTCTCTTCTCTCTCCCTCTCTGTCGTCTCTCTGACGAGCGCTCGGTTCCATCAGAGATGCTTCGAGCCTCCCCCCCCTCCCACCGCCCCCCCCCCCCCCCAGTGTTCTCCTACCCCGCTTGACGCGCCCTTTCCACGGTGTTGATTAGGGCGCGTCGATACCGGCACCGGTCAGAGCCAGGCGACGTCGACGCTGCGGCTACCCCTGCCGGGTTAGAGCAGCAGCAGCAGCAGCCGCAGCAGCAGCAGCCGCCGCAGCAGCAGCAGCCGCGCGCTCTCTCGCTCTCTCTCTTTCCCCGGCACCCACGGCCAAATGAAATGTCACTTTGTCTTTGCCGACGGGAAACGGTGTTAATAAGCCCCCCACCCCGCGCCCTTGCCTCTTCTCCCTGCTCCCCCCAGCCCCGCCCGCCTGCCCCCTCCATCCTCCAGCCTCCTTACCCCCCACCCCTACCCCCACCCCGTGACCCAGCGTCCGTCGGTCACGGACCGCTGGGCGGCCAATACCAACGCCGACGCACGGGTTCGAATCCGGGTCCGTTAAGTTGATGGCCTCTAGCCCGGCGGTCCCCACCGTCGACTTGGCGAGGACACCCACGGGCAGCCACCGGAGTAGTGAGTTGACGGGTCTCAGTCCGGTCTGGAAGTGGCCGGATGGGGTCAAGGGGTCAGGGAGTCACTGAGCCGGCACAGTCGAGGGTCGCGGGTTCGTGAAATCCGGGTTGTGTGGTTTTGGTCCGGTCACGAAATGACTCACGTAGAGGCTCATAGGCGGACACAGAGAGGGATAAACTCGCGTAGACACCCGTGGGCTTACATGGACTGCGTTGTCGCAAGGTGGAGTCAGTTGGTCACGAAAATTCGTCGAATCACTGCAGAAGGGGATGGCGGTCTGTGTCTTTGTCTCCGTGGTTGAGGGTGAGTTGAGGGGGGGGGGGGGTTGCATAGGCTGAATCGTTACACGTCTGGTACAAAAACACATCCTCGCCATGGGAATGTGGAATTTCCACCACTGACTTGACGACCACGCGTGAGACGTTTTTTTCTCTCCCCCCCTACTCTTTAAAAGGCAATCAACGCGTACGTAACGTGCGCTGCCGATCGATGCCTTCCCATTGGCTAATTCTCACGGCAGACAGCACGTGCGCTCCATGGATTCCTCGTGCCTCCTGGCGCCCGTCACCAATCCATAGCCGTGATAGCGTCGTCTGTCGGGCAGCCCGCGGAGGGGAGGGGGATGGGGGTAGACGGAGGGCAACGCCAACCCTGGTACCAGCTGGCACCATCATTACCGCAGTTCGTTACCCCTGGGAAATCCTTAAAATCCACGACTCGCGCGTCCGATTGTCCTGTTAAACTCCCTTTCGCGTTCCGACGACGTACGTGTGCACGTCGTCGTCGGTTCTTCTTCCGGTTCCGCTCCCCATGGAATTCGCATCGAGAGGCGGAGAGGGGAGCGCGCGGATTGGAGAAGGGCACGCCGGTTGAACGACGGAATTCAAATGAATGTTCGTGCAGGGCGCGTCGTTTGGTGGAAGGGGTTTGATGGACGGCTGATGGTCGAGACTCACAACGGAGTTAAGGCCAAAGAACGGAACGCGTCCGAGGGGACGTCCGCCGATGAGAGATGGGGCCGTGTGCAGGTCGCTGGATGGATTGTCGCACCGCAGGATCGTGAGAGGTGGCGACGACAGCTTGGCAAAGGCTCTCATCCAGCAGTGGATTGATCATGGCTGATGACGATGCTGTTGGTAATCACGATGGTGGCGACGCTGCTGCAAATGCTGCTGCCAGTGCTGCTGAGGATTTTGGTGCTGGGTGGGACACTGACCAATAATTTAACTCATGCGTTTCTGATTCTGCAGTTGAGCATCTCTGTCCAAAGGGAGGATGCGGCTGGGGTGGTGCGGTGGGGGCGGTAGAGAGGAGAGGGAGGGACGGGGGTGGGAGAGAGAAATAAGGGGGGCGGGCGGCGGGAGGTTGCTGGGGAATGGATGCGGAGTGATTTCGTTAGAATTGGAGACAAAAATAAGGATCGTGTTGGAGTGACCCCGTCGGACATGGGAGGTTGGAGATTGGGAGAGAGAGAAAGAGAGAGGGAGCCAGCCCAGGGCTAGGTGATGGCTTCAGGGCGATGATAATGACGATGATGGAAATATTCGTTTAGTTCAGTGAATGCTGTCGCACGCTACTTCCCACAGTCAAAACACCAGATACATTTGCGACGAATAAATAAATGCTCTTTGAGTGCACGGCCACCCCGCGCCGCACGTAGCCACAGAGCCACTTTGCAGCCTCCTCCTCCCCCAGCACGTGCAGGGCCACTGGTCCGCACGCCTCGCCCTTGACGCACTCCAAGTGCGCAGTGTCGTCTCCTCGCACGGCCCCAGCGATGTTCCAAAGCAGCAAACACGCGCGCGCACGCTCCCCGATCACGCCCGAAGCGGTTTAACCGCACCCATCGGCGCCGTGGGAGGTCGGAACGATGGCAGTGATGGTGGCAGATGATGACGCCGCTGCTGTCATAATAACGCTGATGATAACGATGATGACGACGACGACGACTACTATGACGGCTGTGATGACGATGACGGTGACATGAACGGGGATCGCAATGGCAATGACGATCACGATAACGACGATAAAATCTACGGTGACGACAGTGATGACCACGATGAAATCAACTAAAATGACCACGACGACGATTTAGAAGGATGCCGATTAGTGAAGTTGATCACAATTCGCCCCCACGCCGACCCCAGGCCAGAGACCTGCTGACCATTCTCGCCGTTTCGCACCCCTGTCGTGTTTGTTGCGTTGTGTGTTGTTGTTGTGGTAGCAGCTCGCTACTTCATAGCTCATCGGTTTCTTCCTCCTCCAGCGTAAATAAAGATTCTGATGCTGCAGGCTTTGTAGCCCCGCTATGGAACATATTCGCGCTGTGTAGCTCATACATCCACTACCCCCCCACTACCAATACCCCCACCACCACCCTCACCACCAACCCCCCACCACCATCTTCCCCACCACCACCCACACCACCAACCCCACCACCATCCCCCCCACCACCCCCACCACCACCCCAACCATCCCCCCCACCACCCTCACCACCACCCCCACCATCCCCCCCACCACCACCCCCCGCCACCATCCCCCCCCACCACCACCACCATCCCCCCCACCACCACCCCCCCCACCATCCCCCCCCCACCACCCCCACCACCCCCCCCACCACCCCACCCCCACCACCATCCCCCCCTCCACCAACCCCCCCCCCTACCACCACCGCCCCCACCACCACCACCACCCCCCCCCACCACCCCCCCCACCCCCCACCACCACCCCCCCCCCACCACCACGTGCTGATAGACACCGCAGGAGCAGGAACAGGAACCGCTCACGTGCTGTGTGGTTCCCGCCCAGCGTCGCCCCGTGACGATGGCGGCTATCCGAGAATGGGGGGGGGGGGGGGGGTGCGACGGGAGGCAATTGCCCCCACCCCTCTCCACGTTCCATCGCCCCCCCCCTCCACCACCGAGCCTCTCTTGAGACCCTCCCCCTCTCAGCACCAATAATTGATGTTTTATTGATATTTACCAGCGAAATATATAACGTTGAATCTTTCATTTTATTAACGTAGGGACCGAGTTCAAAAGACTGACATTTGAAGACTGTCCCCCGCCCCCCTCTACACCCCCTCTACACCCCACCGTTGGGATGACCCACCCCCAACCTGTGACCCTGAGACACCTAGATCGACACCCAGTTCCATCTCGCTTGCCCCACGCCTACCCTCCACGAGGTCAGCCAGTCAACCGAGATTACGTTCGCTCAGTTGACTTGCCTGGGTTAGAGTTAGAGCGCGCCAGTGGCTGGTTAGGTTCGGGTTAGGGTGATAGCGCAAGTGGCTGCTTGAATCACGGCTTCAGCGCCAGTAGATGGTTGGGTCAGGGTTCGGGCTAGCGCTGGAGGGTGGTTGGATTATGGCTATAGGGCTCGTGGCTGCTTGGATGATGGCTAAAGTGCGAGTGGCTGGGTGGGTTAGTGCTAGCACTGGAGCCTGTTTACAAAAGGTTAGGGCGAGACAATTGCTTGACTGGCTCAACCTCAACCACCCCCCCCCCCGCCCCTCCCCCAGGTGAACACCTTCCAAGCGGTGATCGTGTCTGACGAGGAGGACACGTACGCCGTGTTCCTCTACCCCGAGGGGGGGCTCAGCGTGTCGGGCACGGCTCCGAAGGAGGCCCGCGGGGATCGCTCTGAGGTGCCGGCCCGCGTGGGCTTCAGCCGGGGACCCAAGGTCGTCTTCATCTTCAGCACCGAGGGCCCCTCCTACCACGTGACCCACGGCGGAGTGCCCGCTACCTCCATGCCCCGGTGAGGCCCCCCGGACGCGCGGGGTAGTAAGAGCACGTAAATGTTGAAAAAATATTTTTGTAATGAATGAATCGGTGTTTACGCACGCTGGCGATGAAAACAGGTGGTGTCAAGATGTTCAAAGCAGCAAAGAGATACCTCTTGCAAGGAGTCGAGTCTGCATTGACTGCAAGCGGTACTCGTGGGGAACACGAAAACAAATAAACATGCCCTGACAATTCACGGTGTAACACGATTTTTGTCCCTCGGTAGTAAGTGTTATTTTTTAATTGCTTACGCCTAAAAAGTCTAGAAAATGGCTATTATTCCCCACAAACTTTGCTTTTGTGACCAGGACTTTACGTGAAGGAATGACACAAATGCACACCACGTTTTCTCATTGAAAAATAGATACATTTCAAAACATCAATGGCCTGGTCACAAAAGCAAAGTTTTTTGAGAAATAACAGCCATTTTCGATACTTTTGAGGCATAAGCAATAAGGAAATAACACTTACTACCCAGGGACACATTTCGTTTTTGTTACACAGTGTTATAATGTATGGGCATTGTCTTCGAAACTGATTGTCCTAGAGCAGAGACAGCAGCAGCCTTCTTCCTGGCTTGTCTCACCAGCGTCAGGCAAGGGAACAACGCCAAAAGGCGAGCAGTAACAGAGCCAGTGCACGCATGGAAGCATTGAGAGCTCGGGGTGAGCAGCTATTTCATATATTTTGATACTCGCAAAGAGAGGGCCTCATGACCAGTAGTAGCAAAAGTAGCTACAGAAGTAGTAGCTACGGGCCCCGCACTTTCAAGGGCCCCGCGCTAAATGCTTTCAAGCTATCAATTACGGTTCAGCGAGTCTGCACTTGCTCTATTACTATAGTACTATACTGCCTTCGACTTTTATGAACGACTGGGTGTTTAAGGTTAGCGATTTGTCGTATTATCTGGCTGTATAGAAAATGAAAAAATACAATGACTTTACTGTGCAAGTAAAACATTCGTGTTTTAATATGTATCTGTTAATTTATTTATTTAGGGCCCCTTTATAACACAATCCTGCAGGCACCACGCTAGCTGAATCCGGCACTGCTCGTGACACGTATATACAGTTTAACGCGAAGGCTTTCTCCACAACTCCGGCCCGTCGCCTGATGATGTCGGTGGTTGCAATCACCGGAGGAACGTCACGGCGTCTCGACAGGTCAATGCTGTCGTGGAGTTTTTACTCGCCCACACGTAGCCGGCGAGCAGCGTCGTTGTCACAAAAGGGCCACGTTTTGTTTACGCGACGAAGCCCTTACTGATTGGCCGTGTCGCGTGGTGGTGGCGGGTTTAACGACACACATTCATATTTACGCGATCTCACCCGAAAACCTCTATTGTGGATATACAGTGCATAAAAGCAAGCATGCATGTATATTTATATATTTATTTGTAGAAATAAATAGATGAATATATTGGCAGAAAATAAATACGTAAATACGCGCCCGTGGTTGTTTTAAAATATATAGATATTTATACGCGTACACAAATGTATAAATATATTTCTTGTTGGCCCATATTTATAATTTACTCGGTCGGTCTCGCTGTCAATCTCACAGTTTATTTATGCAAATAAATATATAAATGTATGCCTTGGGAATGCTGCGGTATGAAGATAGTCGTAATAATAATAATGTGACCTGTGATAACAAATAACACAATCGTGAAATGCAGTAAAATATTTTTAAAGCGCACGCACAGTCTTAACAACACTACAGGCGGGTGGTGTATGTGGCGGCGTCTAATACTGGCTGCATGTCTCTGTCCGTCTGCCTCTTAGTCAGTCTGTTTGTCTCTTGGTAACGCTGTCAGTGCGTGAGTCTGTCCGTCTGCCTCTTAGTCAGTCTGTTTGTCTCTTGGTAACGCTGTCAGTCCGTGTGTCTGTCTGTCTGCCTCTGAGTGAGTCTCACAACCAATCCGTGTGTCTGTCCGTCAGTCGGTCTCACTGCCTGTCAGTCTCACTGTCAGTCGGTGAGTCAGTCTGACTCGAGCAGGCAGTCAGTCAGTCCGGCGGTCAGCCACCCTTGGTCCGGCGGTCAGCTTCGGTATCTGTTGTGAGTCTATCGCCACTGTCAGTCAGTCTCACCCAGTCAGTTTCACTGTCCCTCAGCCCGCCAGTCTCTTCTCCGCGTGACACGGAATGGATTTTGTGTGCGCGCGTGGTGGAGGGGTTGGTGGCGATGGGTGGCGATGTTTGGTGCCGGCGGGGTGGGTGGCAGCGATGTTGCAAATCCGCGGCGGTTCCTCCTCCACTCGCGTCATCGTCATCACCGTCGCATGCCTCTGCGGCCATGGTCAATCCGCTGCTGGATGGAGGCCATTGCCAACCTTGCGTCGCTGCGTCGACGTGATCCTGGCTCGCAAAGGTCGCGAGTTCACATCCTCGATGCTATAAAAAAAAATGCTCAGCAGGAAATCACTTTGAGCTCATCTTTCTTTGTCAAAGCGCGCACGAGTTGATTTCGTCGATCCGTCTGCCTCCTGAGTGGACGTGCCCCCGGGACGCGTTGCCGTTCCATTCCTCGCCCGCACTCGCATCGTCAATCGTCTCCGTCTCTCATTGCCCCGGCGGAGGCGGCGTGGCAGGGCCACGCGCTGTCAAATCTAAAGGTGGCCAAGCCGAAGACGTTTTGCTTCCGCGGATTTCTATCGCCTATTCACCACCCGTGTTCTGCGAGGATGCGAGCTGGCATTAGCAGCACGTGACGACGTTTGTGGACGCGATGGGCGTGATGTGTAGACAGCGAGAGGGGCTGGGTAGGTAGATTGAGGAGTGGGTATGTGGATAGATATCAGAGTGGGTAGGTGGATAGAAAAATAGATCAGTGGGTATCTAGGTGGATGGACAGATAGAGGAGTGTGTATGTGGATAGATAGAGTAGGTGGACTGATAGATGAGTGGGTAGCTAGGTTGGTGATAATCACAATCGTATTTTTAAAATATTTACCTTCATTAATCACAATTACCATTTCATAATATTAATGGTTTCATTCTAATAACCCACAGGCCTTTGTACATCCACTGCTGGAGGATGGCCTGTTATTTGACCAAGCGTCTCTTGCGGGTTTGGTGAAGGCGGTGAGCGTAGAGGTGGGAGCATAAGAGTGCAGTACAACGATTAATTCTGCGGCCCACAAACGTATAGCTTCGCAGCAATCTATACCACCTGTTATGCATGGTGGATGCCACCAAGGCCGTTACCTGCTCAGCTTTCTGAGATCTAACGAGGTTGATGGAGTGTGTGGGGGCGGTGGGGGGGTATGTGGCAGTGGGCGTATAGCGGGTCGTGGGCCTCCCCTAGGTAGACTCAGCCTCAAGTCAGTACTTGTTGCAATGTGTGAACGTCAGCAGTCGGGAGAGCGTGGTGCTGGCCACCCAGCACCCTCGTGTGCCGTGCCGCCCTTCGTCAGGTGCTGCTGATGATGCTGCTGCTCACGGCACTTGTCCCAACACGGGGGGGGGGGGGGGTCCTTGCGTGGGTGAGGGGGGTGAGGTGGGTGAGGTGGGTGAGGGGGGTGAGGGGGGTGAGGGGGGTGAGGGTGGGGGAGGGGGTGAGGTGGGTGAGGGGGGTGAGGGTGGGGGAGGGGTGAGGGGGTGAGGTGGGTGAGGGGGGTGAGGGGTGGGTGAGGGTGGGTTAAGTGGGTGAGGGGTGGGTTAGGTGGGTGAGGGGGGTGAGGGGGGTGAGGGGTGGGTTAGGTGGGTGAGGGGGGTGAGGGTGGGTTAGGTGGGTGAGGGGGGTAAGGGTGGGTTAAGTGGGTGAGGGGTGAGGGGTGGGTGACGGGTGGGTGAGGGGGGTGAGGCGTGGGAGCAGAGGGCTCTCTGTGGATCCCCGATGCCCGCGCGTTGACCCAGGATCGTGTTGACACGGAGATGGACGCGGAGATTAGAGCGCGAGACGTAGCCACTGTGGGGTGAGCGGGGTGGGTGAGGGGGTGGGTGAAGGGGTGGGTGAGGGGGGTGGGTGAGGGGTGAGGTGGGTGAGGGGAGTGGGTGAGCGGGGTGGGTGAGCGGGGTGGGTGAGCGGGTGGGTGGGGGGAGAAGAGCGGTTGTTGAGGAAATTGTGGCGTTTGAGAGGAGAGGGTGGCTCATGGAAAGGTGGGGTGGCGCGGGGGGGGGGGAGTTGGGGGGGGAAGAGGGGTGAGTTTGGGGTAGGGTGTGAGTGGAGTTGGGGGAGGGGTGGAGTTGGGTGGGGTAGAGGGGTGAGTTTGGGGTAGGGGTGAGTGGAGTTGGGAGGGGGAAGAGGGGTGAGTTTGGGGTAGGGTGTGAGTGGAGTTGGGGGAGGGGTGGAGTTGGGTGGGGTAGAGGGGTGAGTTTGGGGTAGGGGTGAGTGGATTTGGGACGGGGAATAGGGGTGAGTTTGGGGTAGGGGGTGAGTGGAGTTGGGGGGGTGGAGTTGGGGGGGGAGAGGGGTGAGTTTGGGGTAGGGGGTGGGTTTGGGGTAGGGGGTGAGTGGAGTGGGGGGGGGGGGAGTTGGGTGGGGTAGAGGGGTGAGTTTTGGGTAGGGGGTGAGTGGAGTTGGGGGGGGGTGAAGTTGGGTGGGGTAGAGGGGTGAGTTTGGGGTAGGGGGTGAGTGGTGTGGGGGGGGGGTGTGATTGGGTGGGGTAGAGGGGTGAGTTTGGGGTAGGGGGTGAGTTTGGGGTAGGGGGGAGTGGAGTTGGGGGGGTGTAGTTGGGTGGGGTAAAGGGGTGAGTTTGGGGTAGGGGGTGAGTGGAGTTGGGGGAGGGTGTAGTTGGGTGGGGAAGAGGAGTGAGTTTGGGGTAAGAGTGAGTGGAGTTGGGGGGATCGTTCAACAACAGTGCCACTATAACATCGCTGCATCAGCGAGTTCACGCGACAGCAGCCCACGCGCGCGTGCGTAAGTAGAAGACAAAGCTCCCCCGTGTAGCCCTTAGCAGAGTGTTGGGGCAAGTGCTGTGATCGAGTTGTCACCGACGAAGGGCCGGCACTGTGGCACGTGGGGGCGGTGGGTGGCC